TCCTGGCAGGAAGCACATTTGTCCTAGAATTTATATAAGGAGATTCAGCCTTGAACAATATGCTGCACCAGAGCCCACTCTTTGCCTTGCCCAAGCAGGGCCTTCTTCTATGTAGCACAAAGCAGGACCTAGCAGGATAGGATATAACTTAATATGGGAGTTTTTGGGACTGCAGTCATCATCATGAGATACCATTTATCAAATGAGTCAACATCCGGAGTTATCACTAAGGCCCTGAGGAAACTTTAGCATTAAAAAGATTTATGCCAGAGAACATACGATTTGATTTACAATACACTGTTTTATCTGATAAAAATAAGCGCAGACCAGTTGCCAAGAAAAGAACAAGGAGCAAAACCAATGCAACAATACTGGTTCATTAAGTTCACCTTTAAGAAGTTTGCTAAATATCTGGAAAGAATTCCCACATACACTTAATCTGAGCATGTAAAATCCTCCTTTGTCATCACCACAGAGCCTTCACAGGATTTACCCAGGGTTTCTTAGAGTGCTTTTCTCTTCACAGAATGTCAAGTTTTCAAGTACTTCTAAACAGTCTCAAATTCCAAATGATCAACTGAATAACGAAGCAGTCTCTAATCTCTTTTGTGTATGTTGTAACTCAGCCAAAAAGAGTAAAATGCAGTGAGATTTCTGAATCAAGCCCTTTGTGGGATATCACAGAGCAAAAATATTGGAAGGTTTGGGAATAAAAAGGTTAAAAACCCTTTTAGCTTAGCTCAAGAGGACTTTGTACACAGATAAAACTTAGGAAACACAGAGTAGGTTGCAACTTAAACTAATGAAATAACATAGCTGTTGTGCATGCGTTTTGGACAAATACAACTGAAAGGAGAAGCTTAGAAGAGAAAAGAGACTCTGGTTTTGGCAGGGGATTTCCCAGCCAAGAACAGCTGAACTGTCTGTATAAGACATGACTGTAGCAATTAGTGACTAATACAGATCATGTCAACAGCTGGCAGTGATAATTCTATTCAAAGGTTTTATTTATAATCCCTGAATCTGATATTGTCCAGAGTTCTCTCAACAACAATAAAAAGAGGGTTTGTAAACAGCCACACTGAAAAGTAATGTTCTACTGCAATTGATTATTTTCCTTGCTTTTTGTTTCTGATCCATTTTCTACAGTTTTATTTCACTTTATCTCATAAAATCTATACTAAGAAGAGAAAAGCCTATAGAATGAGAGAAATTTCACTCACTTGCTGTCAGTTGCCTGTCATCTTACAAGGACATGTGAAAATTTGACTCTTGAATGTGTCCTGCTAATAAAAGTTTAAGGCATTGGCACAGATGTAATTTGTCTGTCATTCCATAACAAGTAAACATATCTTTCTTTAGGTTTGTTTTGTTTTTCAGTCCATCACATATCATTTAAATGCTAAAGACATCCTACCTACATTATAATAAAAAAGAGAATAATTAAAGGAACTCAATTCCATAGAATTGTATTTGCTTCTAAATAATATTAATCAGACCCTTCCCCCATGTTTTTACTTCTTCCCCCAATTTACTATTGAACTTTCTCTCTGGGGGATTAGCTGGATTCATACACCCAGCACATTGTAAAGGAGCACATGGTAGCCTAGACTGCATTCTCCTTAGCACTGCTGGGGACAGTGATCAGTATGTACAGACTTTATGAGAAAGATATTCCCTTTAATCACATCATCCACACTCCTACTATCACTCTGGCCACTCCTCCACTACATTATGTTATTACTAGAGAGTACATCAAGAAGAGGGGCCCAGCTCAACCTCTGTATAAAGACATACCTGTGCAAACATGTCTACCCTTTTGTTCTTCATTCACTTTAATATAAATCCTGTAAATCCATAATGGAGTCAGGACTACAGGAGAATAATCTAATCTTCTTATCATCTGGTACTGCTTTGACCCAGATACCACCTCAAAACACTAGGAAAGGAGTGATTTCTGGAGGAACTGGATTTGCTTACCTAGAAGAGCTTCAGCATTGCCAGGCTGAAGGAGTAATAAAATACAGCAAATTTTGTGATCTGTAGTCATTAGAAAGAGTCAACACGTTGTTTTTCCAGGGCAGTGGGATATATTCATAGTCCAACTATAGTTCTAAACACTTTGTATATTTTTTGAAAATTAATTACCCATTTACTTCTCTCTGCATCATATCCATCAAAGTAAGGATTTCAGACATTGTAAAATCACTTATTTATATTTGAAACACAACTGTGCACTTCATTTTGACTGCACTATGCTCACAATTATCAGAGACAGAGTTTCCCTCAATTTGATTTTATGATCCTGTACTGGATCTGGCTGTGATGGAGTTAAGTTTCTTCATAGCAATCTGTGTGGCATTCCATTTTGAATTTCAGGATAAAATGGTGTTGCTAACACAGCAGTGTTTTGACTATTGCTGAACATGTCTTGAACAGCATCATGGTTTTCTCTTTTTCCAACTCTGCACCCAAGTGAGTAGGTTTGGGGTGCACAGGAAGTTTAGACATGATGCATCCAGGACAGCTGAACTTAACTGATCAAAAGGATATACTTTGCCATACAACTTCATGCTCAGTAATTGCTCAGTAATAAAACAGAGTGGGGGGAATTTGGGACGGTTGCCATTGCTTGGACACTGGTTGGGCATCAGTCTATTTGTGGGAGGAAATGAATTATTGCCTTTACATTACTTGTTTTGTTTTATTTTGTTTTGTTTCTTCCTCTTTCCTTTGCTTACTAAACATCTCAACCTATAAGTTTTCTTAGTTTTGCTCTTCCTATTCTTTCCCCTGTCCTGCTGGGGCAGGAGAGAGGAAGGGAGGGAGGAAGTGGTTGAGTGGTGCTTAGCTGCCCACTAGAGTTAATCAACAACAGATCCTTAAAATGTTTACCCCACCTGACTCCAGCTATCAATAAGTATGGTTCAGATAGCAAGGATAACCTAAGCTTTTCTTCCCAGCTCCCGCTACAATCAGTTGAGAAGCAAACTAAGGAATTAGTTCACTTATTTCAGACAGCTGTCCCAAGGGCTGACCTGCTGTCTTTTTCAGTCCCTCTCATTGACCGAAGAGGGAACCTAGAAAGTATCTCAGGTACTGATGGTAGTGAAGCCAGAGGACCAGTGTGGACTTGGCATGGGCAAACCATTCAGTCTCCACTTCGCTATTTGGGCAGGTTTTGAATCCCTAGCATTGGATTGCACAGGCAGAAATACACATGCATTAATACATAAGTTTGTTGATACATGTGTACTGTGTTTCTCAGACAAGAGTCCAAAGCTAGAACTCCAGGGAGAACTGTGCAAACTTTTCTGTAATGTTTGTGTACCAAAGCCACCAAAGGGGCTTTTAGCCTCTAAAAGGAAAGAGGAAATATTTTAAAAAAGAAAGCATTTGAGTCTGCTGAGTGAAACAAATTAAAATAAAATGTTTGAAAACAAAGCCCTCCTCTAACCCAGCATATTTTTGCAGCATGAGTCCTTCTCTCCAGCTTTGCTCTTCAATCCAGCAACTTTCCGTAGCTTCTTCCATTGCCACAAATGTTGCAGAAGCTCCCTTTGGGCTTTGGGTGGCCCCCCTGATGCAAGCTGGCACGCAGCTGCCCTGAGGAACACTGTGGGTTTTGGCAGTGCTGCAGGCTTGCTGCCTACTATGGCAGGCTCGAGTAGATTGGATTCCAAATCCCCTTCCTCAGCTCTGTGCTTGCTGTCAGAAAAGAGGCAGTTGCCCCATTTTCCGAGTGAATTGTGTTTGAACATCTGTCATAAGCATATAGTCTTTTGTGTTATTTTAGCAAAGGCCATGTCATTTTAGCAAAGTATACTATCCTTTACCTAGTAAAATCATAGAATCATAGAATGCCTTGGGTTGTAAGGGACCTTAAAGGTCATCTAGTTCCAAACCCCCTGCCATAGGAAGGGCCACTTCACACCAGACCAGGTTGCTCAAAGCCCAATCCAACCTTGTCTTGAACACTTCGAGGGACAGGACATCCACAACTTTTCTGGGAAACCAGTTGCAGTGTCTCACCACCCTCACAGAAAATAATTTCTTCCTAATATCTAATCTAAATCTACCCTCTTTTAGTGTAAAATCATTACTTTTCATTCTATTGCTGATAAAGAGGCCCTCCCCATCTCTCCTACAGGCCCACTTCAGGTACTTGAAGGCTGCCATAAGGTCTCCTAGGAGACCAGGCTGAACAACAGATTTAATCCTTCAGATTTAAACCGTTGACCAAGTCTCAGACTAGGATTGGATCCAGACGCCCCTAGACTTCTCTCTGGGAAGGAGTGTAGAAAGCAAGGTGGTCCTCTCTGACCCTCGTGACTCCATGGGAAAAGGTGTACTGGACACTTCTGCCTGACTGTGTCCTCCATTCAGTAAATAACCGAGTGCACCTTGCCATCAAATCTTGTTAAAACACTCTATCAAAGGCTCTGGCTGAGCCGGGCTGGGGTCAGTGTCCGGCCGGTGCCCATGATGCACTGTGACGCCTGTCACACCACAGGGGACACGTCACAATGAGGGCAGCTATAAAGGGCGCCAGCAGGCAGCTGCCCCAGTACGGCCTTGGCCAGCGGTGAGTGTGCTTACAGGCTATGGCTTTGATAAAGGTCTGCGTCTTGCCTATGCTGACCTTCTTCCAGATCCTGCCCATGGTTGGCTATGAGCTGGATGGGGCCACGCGTGAGCACATGCGTCTCCGTGCTGAGGAGACAACTCAGCTCCCGCTTCTGCAGGTGAGAAGCCTGGAGCAGAAGAGCCAGGAGCAGAGCAGCTTTGTCCAGGGAGCCCTGCACTTCGCTTCCTTGCAGCACTGGCAATTCTGGGCGGTTGCTGAAGTCTCACTGCTGCTCTTTGGGCTCTGCTGGCGGCTCAGGAAAAGGAGCCATCAGCCAGAGATCACCTGGGAAGAGGAGAGCTCTGGCAGCAGCACAAAGGGCAAGGTAAAAGAAAGCAAAGGACAAGAGTCTGATGACAAGGGGCGTCTGATCATGACTATTGCAAAGGACATCCATTGGGCAATGAAGAGCGTGGCCTACAAGTGCCGGGTGGCAGAAGAGCTGGTGAGCGACCTCCTTGCTATCTTCCAAGCACGCTTGGCCAACAGTTTCTTCCCGGTGCTAGAGCCAGCCATCGGGGTGGGCAGCACCTTTGAAGGTTGGAGTCCCTGTGGGCATGGTGTGGTCTACTGCCTGCTTGTGCCCCTGAAGCCCCCCCGTGGACACACGTTCCACCTGGAGCTGGGCTCTGTGGAGGGGATGCCGGCAAAGAGCCACATCCGTGTTCAGCTGGACTGCACCTGCATGAGGGACCAACATGTGGAGAACATGCTCTGCTTCGTGCACCAGCCCAAGGAGGCACTGAGGAGAAATCAGGATTCCAGCCTCATAAACAATCTCTGCACCGGCTTGTACCTGGATGCACAGAAAATTGCCCTCTGGTTCCAGTCCATGGTGAGCTCAGCCTGGGCAGAGATGCCTCAGTGGCATCACTACAGTATGAAGGTGCTGCCTTCCCACCGCTCCTGCAAGCTGCTTCTGATGACTGCCTCCAAGAGATCCCTTTTTGTCGAGGTGATCTTTGGGGTGCAGGAAGGCAACTCAGACATCTTCCTGAGCAGCCAGGCTACAGAGGCCATCTTCACCCTGGGCACAATGTGGACAGAGAGCTATGCTGTGGCAGAGGCCAAGTTCTTCAGGCATATGGCCATGCAGGCCCCGCAGGACACCTTCCCCCTCAAATGCCTGCAGCTCTGCGCTGGTATCCTGGTGGGCACAGGTTTTTCCACCTATACGTTCAAGACCATTGTGATGCACCTCCTCAACACCCTGCCCCTGGAAAGCTGGGGAAGGAGGGAGTTCCTCTTGCGGCTACAGGATATCATGTGGTACCTGCACAGCTCCTTGGAGGAGAAACGCCTCGACCACTTCCTCTTTGCCAATGAGAACGTGCCTGAGGACATTGTCTTGCCCCCAGCCTTCCAGGCGGCTGAGCCACTCAACCTTTTCCAGCGCCTAGTGCAGGATCCAGCTGCCCACGCCAAGGCACTGCGTGAGTTGGAGGAACTGCAAGATCGGCTCACAAGACTGCTCTTCTTTGGAGTCTGAAAGAGATCTTCATGGACAGAGCAGTGTCTGTGTCCCCTCAGCTGCGCCGCTCCTTCTGGGAGCTCTGCTGTGTGCAAAGTTGTCAATAAACCGTGTGTGTTTGAACAAAAGCTGTATCTCTGAGTGTGCATGCATCAGCTTTTTGGGAAAGGTGGGCACAGGGTGCTGACTGCTCAGCTGCCCCAGAGTTGGGGAGCGTTTGCTGAGCGGGTGGGCTCTGATTTCTTGGATTCTGTAGCTAAGGCAGCTGTGTGGCAGGTGAGGTGCACTCTTCCCTGTATTTGGGACGCCTCCAAGGGAAACCCAAGCAGGGCATGTAGGCAAAGATTTGCAAGCTCTTTGATAATGGTCACATCAAATGAACTGCCTCTGTCTGGATGCTGAAGAAGCCCAAGTGGTGCCCGGTGCCCATCAGCCCAAGGGATGTGGTTTTTCCTGGCTCTCAGAGGACCGAGCTGTTCCAAAACCAACTCTTGCCTTTTTTCACAGCAGGCCTAGTTGGAGCCAGCTCATGCTGCCTGTCCCTCCTGGCACCGCACTCTGAGCTGCCAATAACCTCTACTCCAGTCCCAGTGTGAGAGTAAAATGCCCACTCCTCTCAGTAGCAGCGCTACAGGGTGAGCGAGAGCTGCAGCCAGTCCCTGAGTGTCTGCGGAAGCCATCACTGCCTGTGTCACACTGCCCATGGGCTTTTGAGAGAAGCGGCCACCTTCACAATTGCCTTGCATCAAGGACTCACCCCAACCAGCAGTCTGTGTCTGGCAGGTGCCTGTGATGTGCTACGACGCCTGGCACACCACAGGGGATGCGTTACAATAGGGGCATCACTGTGGAGGTCTCCCTCTCCTCCAGGGTTCACAACCCCAATGCTCTTAGCCTGTCCTTACAGCAAAGGAATCCCATCCCTCTGATTATTTTTGTGGCCCTCCTCTGGAGCCGCTCCAACAGCCCCATGTCTTTCATGGGCTGAGGGCTCCATATCTGTATGCAATACTCCAGGTGGGGTCTCACCAGGTCAGAGTAGAGGAGCAGAATCTCCTCCCTCAACCTGCTGGCCATGCTTCTTGGTGCAGCCCAGGATATAGTTGGCTTTCTGGGCTGTGAGCACACATTGCTGGGTTATGTAGAGCTTCTCATTCACCAGCACCCTCAAGTCCTTCTCCCCAGGGCTGCTCTCAGTCCATTCTTCACCCAGCCTATATTTGTGTTTGGGATTGCCTCATGGCATGAGCAGGATCTTGCAGGACCAAATGTGTGCAGACAAATCAAACAGCCCATCCAAGTGAATCAGACATGCAATGTATTTTTTCTGAGCACTAGTAGTAAATCTGATGTGCACAGGAGGGGTTTAACTTCCGTTGCATGTGCAGATCACATGAGAAGAGGATGTTCAAGGCATTTAGCCAACACTTCCTGGAGCCTGTGCAGTCACACAGCACTGGGCTGGCTCTTTATGGCAATCCACCATAGCCTTCAGGAACACTACATCCACCCAAGGCACACAGCAGTCTTAAATCTTAGATATATGACTAAGAGCATACCTAGTGTCTCCAGATGAACAGCAGTGTGATAAAATTGTCTGCTCTGCAAAGGTTACCAGTCAGCCCAGGCATGTCTTACATTTCCTTAAGGTCCACTTTAAAAGAAGTTCAAGGTGAAAAAAATAAATATGCTCTGAACACTTGGTAGTCAAATTGGTATCACAGCTCTGTGATAATCTGTGGTTTCACAGTTGTCCTGCTAGCAGTACTCACATTAGCTTGTTGAAATCTGAGAGGCTTGTATACATCAGGTTCAAACACAGGAGTGACTGCAGTGCAGACAGCCATTTGATAAATGTTATGAAAGGAACAATAGAAAGAGATGTGTTGCCAAGCACAGTTCTGAGTTGCAAAGGGAAGTAATGGAAACACAAGGTAAAATATTATTTTTGGATATTGGAGAGTGCATAGTATGGAATGTTTTGGAATTCATTTATATTTGTTTGGCCGCTTGCTTGATTAGGACAGATAGCATTTGGACTTCATTTTGTATATTTTCTTCTTACCACATTTTTTGGCTTTTAGATTTGAAACATCATGAAAGGAAAAATTAGTGCCATATTCTAAGAACTCTTCTTTGCATCATATGTCCTTTCTTTCCTCCCGTGATATTGCAACACACCTGTGTTAAAAACTCAGTGCTGATTGTGGAATATAAAAGTCTCCTCTGACTGCACAAGAATATCTCTTGGATATCACTCCTGACTTCTTGGGCTGAAAATGCATATGGAAGAAGAAAATGGGGAACATGCTGAACTTCAAAAGAGAAACTTGGACAAAAAATGACTGTTGAGTAGAAATAAGGTAAAAAAAATAAATTGCCCTGGGGGTTGCTGCTGTGCCTCTGGTGCTCATCAGTAACCTTGCAGAGTGATAATCTCAAAACCACCCTTATGTGGGAGCCAAACAAGGCAGTAAACTGAGTACTACAAATTAGTAATGATAGCTGCCTATCAGGTGCTAAACTTTGAACTCAGGTTATACAAGGATCATCATGATGAATATGCAAAAAGATCTCCTTCCCTGCAAAATAAAGATCAGGTTGTAAGTACAAGTAGCTAATATAATCTGAAAAAGTCATTCTTTTTCAGCCCACTTCTCTGACTCCCAAGAAAGAGATGCCATGAGCAGCTGTCTGCTTTGTTCTTATACATGCCACTGATGAGCCTTTAAGATATTTTTCATGCCAGAGATAATGCTGGTAAAATATGTGAATTCAGGGTAAAATTTCTGCTTTCATAATTACAGTATCTAGTACTGTAGAAGAAAAATTTTTTTTTTTTTCTCTCAGAACGTAGATTGTGACCATATGCAGTGCAGCTTTTTTAATTGTTCCTGCTTTGATTTCTGTCCTTTAGAGAGTTCCCATACTGGAGAGCTCCTGGAAATAATTTTGGAGTCAGAAATTCTTTCTGTGTAAAAAATTTGAGACTTCCTGCAGCTGTGGGATATGAGCCAGCAGACAGGAGATTTGGATTTTCTTGCCAACTCCTGCACAGTGCATGGCAGCAGAAAGGCCCATAATATCATCAAAGTTTGATGTGGAGGTTTTCCACCTAAGAAACAAAGCAGCTATGAGTGTTAAACACCAGAACAGAAACAGAAATAAAAATATCATCTGGTTATTCAAGACAACTACGTACATAGCTTTTTCACACTAATTTCCATGAAAAGGAAGCAGTTTCAGACGTGGCACCTGGCCCACTTACTCCTGTGTCTGGCACGTCTCTTCACCTTACCCACCCCATATCCTGGATCTGGACCACACATAAGGACTTCATCAGACTGATGGTACCACATGAGCATCCCGAGCCCTCATTCCAGTCAGAAGGGGTCCTCCCAGAACAACCTCAGGGGAACACGCTCTACTCCAGAGATGGGAAAATATGCCAACTGGGTCATACTGGCATATCACTTGTGTTAGCAAGATAGGAATAAAGTGCACTTGTTATTATGAACAAAATTCTTGCCATAGGGAAAATCAGGAAGACATTGATGTTAGATTTAATGATGACAGGATTTAACACTGAGTCTTTATTGTCAAATTATAAAGCATCACAAAGATAATATGAACCACTTGGATCCAAATTACCTCTCACGAAGGTTTCAGTCCATTTGCTCACTAGTTTCTGAAATACCACTTTAATGGCTGGGAAACCCAGATTTCTCTAGTAAAAATCCCATTAACAGCCAACCATGAACTGTTACATGAGTACCATGCTTTTCTGCTTCATCTGGAAATCTTAGCTTAGCTATTAGATCAGGAGTCTCTTCACTACCTGTTGCTTTACACACTTTAGGTTTCCCTAAGACATTTGTTCTAAATAAATGTCCAAATTGGACAAAGCCAAGCCAAGGGTAGTGGTATCCGAGCTGGGCATATGTGGCAAGCAAGTGTATGAGGAAAAGAGTATTAATGGTAACAGGTGCAAAAATATACATGTAAAATGAGGACAAAACATTAGTTGTCGGACTAGGTCAGTCACCTAACCTTCAATAAGCAATACAGTTCCATCAAGTACTTTTGACTATGGAATTCAAACACAGGGCTATGATAAAGTAAGCGAGGACCAAACTTCAGTGGCTGGCTGGGTAGGGCAGACAGCTGGACCTTTTCTTTCCTTTTTTGGGACCTGGTCCAGCCACACTGCACCACAGCTCTTCCCTGTTGCTGCTGTGCCATGTCCCATGCTGTCTACCAAATGCTGTGAGAAAAACAAGCAGAAGCAAAAATAAATATTTGTTCCTTGCATCCTAACAAATTTACAGTGTTTAGCTAAGGTTAAAATGCTTAGCCATATGCTTGTCATATGTTTGTTGCTGTGGCTTTACTTTGTGCTAAATAATGGTTTTATCCATCTTGAAGCTCAGAAATCGATTTAAGGGAGAGGAGGAGACAATGGTCAAAGGTAGCTCATAAGGGACAAATTTCTCATTTCCTCAAGGAAAGAGAAAATGCAATGAAATAAAAAAGAATAATTTTGCCTTATGGTACAACAGCCAAGCTAATCACAGGATGGGCCTGCTGTGCCTCAGGAGTGCCAGTGAACCTTAGCACTTAACATTTAGCCCTTACCTAAGCACTTCCCTAATACATGCTAGTCAGTGCAATACTTTCTGAAGTGAGGTAGGGGCTAACCAAATCATTCAGCATCCAAAGACATAGTACCAGAATGTTTTGGCCAAAAGCTGTCAAGTGTCTGCTACACCTGCTTAGCATCATCTACAGCTCCTTGCTGGGACTTAGATATAGTCTATACAATCAGTAAGGTTTTATTCTGCTGCCTACACACAAGCTTTTTCATTAGAGATGTGCTGAGATGTCCAAGAGATCCCCATGGACCTGTCTCATTTGAAGGAGACATGTCTCTCCTGTGTGCTTCAGGACATGCAGATCAGTGCCCTGCTGGGAGTTCAGACAGGATGCCTTGGGGCATTAAATGCTCCTGTACTAGCAAG